TGTGGAATGTACATATGTAGACAGTGACTGGAAAAATTGTTCTCCATTAAGCAAATCCACAGACCTGATTGAGGAAGGCCTCTGGTAATTTGTATGCATGATACAGTTTTAACAGTCACCACTTGAATTTCCATTTAAGGCTCTGAAAAACATTTTACTCTAATCCTAGTAGATACTATCTTCGCTCACAGCGTACCTACGACAGAGCCGTTTATCTGAGCAGGCAGCACTTCCCTAAGAATTCCCCTGTGTTCACATCTGACTCTATTAGCTTAGCTAACAACTTTTATTTCACCTGAGGAAGAAAAATTGAAGGGATTTTCAAAGGCATTTCTCTGGATGCCAGGTTTTTATTTTATTTATCTAATCACTAACAGAAGTCTAATGGGCAAGCACAGAAAATAGAAAGACTGAGTGTGTGTGTGTGTGTGTGTGTGTGTGTGTGTGTGAGAAAACCTGAACCCATCATTTCCAACCTGTCAGGCAACAGCTATATTGAACAAAATGGAAATTATTTCAGAACAGATACAGTCATCAGGACCAAACGGGCTGTAATAAAAAACAGTGAGGGAGGACTACTGGAAATTTTGTCATATTTTTGAATGAAATGTAAAAACACTGTTTGCAAAACTTTTCATGGCAAATATTTATTTTTTATCAATTCTAAGCTAGTTAGAACATTTTTAAATAAGAATATAGACAACTGTTTTGCATTATCCAAATAACATTTAAAAAGAGTAAACAGAAGAGATTTTGAAAAGATCTCCTAGTTTACAAATAAAATATGAAAGATAACTAGAGTACTCATTCCCAGCTCCAGCTCCCAAGGCAGCCAATGGGTGTTTTACTACTACTTTCAGTACTGGAAATCATTCCTTGGCTCAAATCACAGGAAAAAGATCAGTTCCCTTGGGGTACATCTATATCATGCACATGCAGTGATGCTTTAGAGATCCTTCAGCACTAGCCACATGCACAGCTTGGTATATGTGCAACTGCAAGCTGAGGGAGGTACAGGGCGTTTCGGGTATGGTACCGCTCCGGCACTCCACGGCTACACTGCTCCTCTGCCAGAGCGAGCCTGCGTGCAACAAGTTGGGGTATGTCCATGTAGTTCTCCATTTCTTGGCATGGATGCACCCTCAGTGAGCTATAAAGCCATGTGGATTGGAGCCAAGGTATCTTAAATATTGACTCATGGTCTGGGTTGGAGATCAGGGCAGACAGTTTCATTCCTCTTGGCACAATGAAAGTCTCTAAAATAAGGGTAAATCTCATCTGTACACAATGATAACTTTTTTTAGGGGCCAGTCTAAAAGTGAACTCCCTCAGGAACAAGATGCTATCATAAATCTCACCATCTTCCACTCTGAGGTCAAGACGGTTTCTTCCACTTAATCTTCTCTAGCAGTCATATAACAATACAGAAGGTGCACATATTAAAAAAAAAAAAATCTCATCTAAACCATCTGATTGCTCAACAGTTTTGCTCCTGGGGTAAAGAATGAAAGAAAACACCTACTACTAATCCATTACTAATCAAGCGTTGGTACTGCCTAGTCCAGCTCTGAAAGACTCAATAGCACAGTGAAGACAGAGGTGTGAAGCCTTCAGCAGAATTACCTGTTTTTCCAATAGGACAGGGATTTGGAGGATCAGGATATCCTTGGTCTTCACCAAAATCCTTTGGAACATTATCTCCTGTCAGCTCAGCCACAATGTTTGGGATGTTGCCATAAGGACCCAAGTGCTGGAGACCCTCGTGCGCACCACCTAGCAAAGGCAATTTACACACACTGTCTTTTCACAAGATTAAAAGTGTAAGTGCTTTAGTTTCTTCGAGTAATCCAGACTTAGATTTAAAATATATATATATATATAATAGTTATAGAGACAGATACAAATTTAGATTTCATAAGTTTCTTTTAGAAACATAACAGTGTGATCTAAATCAGATAACTTGGGTAATGAAAAATGAAACTAGGAAACAAAATCAGCCACTTATTATTAGTCTTTGGGTTGTTTTTTTTCTTAACTGTGTAAGTTATAGGTAAGAAAATGCAAAGAAAAAGAAACATGAGACAGTAACGGAATTTAATACATTTACTGCACAATCATCTTCCATCACTGATACTGTTCATTGTAGCAACTAAAAATTGAAGAATGTATGGCAAGACAACATCATGGCAGGAAGACAAAGTTAATGACACTGTAGAAGGAAATACTACTATTTGGACAGCCTAGAGATACATTAATAAATTAAGTCATGCAAGGGGACCCAAGATATTATAACAAATTTGGCTGTATACAGCTAGGAAAATTATTTTTACACCAAACCATTTCTTAAATGCAAATTTGAGTTCCCTGCAGTAATGGTGAAAAGTGATTAAGAGTCGGTACTGTTGATGGGAATTCTTGCACAGGTACAGCTACACTAGGTAGTCTCTACGATATGAAAGATCACATTCAGTGACTTTTACACCTTTACTTAGTAGCTCAGTTCTAGATGCAGAGTTTTATATTTCCCCTGCAGGACTCAGAGCATCATCACTGCAGGGTTACAACAGCAGTGTGCAGTAGGTTTTATAACCCAGTGGCAGTGGACACGATGATGGGGATGGCTTCCAGTTCTTGGGCAAAGGCAGGCAGGAGTGGCGTGCTACAGCCCGCCCTGGTACCAGGCTCCAGACGGAGAGAGGTGAGATGGGGCTGTGGCTCTCCTTCCTTCTTCCACACATCTCAGCTTGGGTGCCTTGCCTTTGACAAATAGGGTCTTCCACTAAAGTTCTGGGAACCAAGTTCAGGCCATTCTCTATGCATCTCTACAAGTATTTATCTGCTCCAGGTAATTTCTGCATGCATTACTGGCCAAATGTATCTACAGGCTAAAACGCAGCTGCTTGAGGAGTTTTCTAAATACTATTGTGCAGTATTCTTTAGAATTTCAGACAAATAAAAACTTAGTTCCAAGCACACTTTTTCCCTGCCATAAGACAGCCACCACACAGGCCGCAGCAACGGCTAATGTAGTTACTGAGTACTCAGATGGTTGTGTGACAGCAGAGCAACATTTTTTAAAAACCCTGTATGAGTGATAACAACAAACAGTCAACATAAAGTTCACTAACAATGAATGAGAGAAACGGGAATCTGAATAGTGGAAAAATGTGAGTTCAAGAGTGTTGCTCACAAAATTATCTCCAAAGAGTCATATTTTCAATTTCTGTAGTTTTCACAGATCCAAAAGATTGGAATAAAGCTTCTGAACGTGGAAGCTGTTCCAGAAGAATCATTCAAGTACTCCTGTCCCAACTTACAAATAAATACTACCAGTGTAAGTTGTATCTTTTATGCAGCTAGGCCTTGTAAGCTAACACAATCACTTTCAAAAATTCCTAACATGAGGCAGTCTTGACAAATTTTGTATTCCTTTCTAAATTTAGAAGTGGTAGTTGAGTTAAATTGTCTACATTTTACAAATAATCAACTGGAAACTGGGATTATTGTACCAGAAGCAATTTAGTCTGTAAGCATTTCAATATTGTTTCCACGATGGACTCAAACCTCATCAAAATGCTAATCTTTCACCCCAAACACAGGTTTCTTAATCTGTAATGCAATGTGGAAGGAAAGGTTTACAGATATGTAACATACATAAAAGCAGTCCTATAAAAACTTTGCATCGGTATTACATGAGGTTTTCCCTTGTAGCTGAGCATAGGACCTGGTACTGAAGCCAGAATATAGTTATACATACTACCAACTTTATTATACATTTACACTCCATAGTCAACATGAAGGTGATGGTTGTAAGAACTATACAGATTCACAAAATCGCTATGGCGATGAGGTTAAAAAGAAGTAAAACATACATTTAACCTAATGTCATTTGATCTAACATCTAATGTACAGCATAAAATACTTCTTTTGTACTGAGCTCCTTCACATGAAGATTGATTGCATATATGTACTTAAAAGCATCAGGTTATGATTCTGCTGTAAACTACAGAACCACATAATCAATACGTGTTTGAACATCCTGTATACAATGTGGTTCACTATGGGACAATCCATCAGATAGAAGCACATCTACGCTTGTATGTGGTGCAGACCTCTTGGCACCAAAGCTCCATCCATAAAGAAAACAGAGGTACTTAGCAGGCTCCAGTGTGCTATATATACATGTAAGTTTAAACCGACTGCCAAGAATTCCCTTGACTGAGTACAAAACAATATTTTTATATTAGTAGAAAGGATTGTTTCCTTTAGGTATAAATGCCCAGGATCATATAAGGGTTTTTCCTTTCTTTCCGAAAGAGCTGGAGACAATAGCACCTGCTCTGTTGCCATAATTTAGCACACTTGAGTGATTTAATAGTGTTAGCAAAGCTCATTCCTTTTAAATGCTGATAAATAGTGCACTCAGTAAAGACTGCGATAATAAAAATGAAATGCTATGAATATACCAAATAGGGGTATTATGTACAGCAATTCAAAAGCTGCACTAGTTTTGGTATTGTAGTGTTATTGATTTGAAGAAACATGTTAGGATTAAATACACTGCAGCTTCAAAGTCAAAATACTGTGATACAAACATAGAGTCATCCCCAAAAATAGCACAAGATGGGTCTCAAACCTCAACCAAACATTGAGGCAGAGACTGAAAGAGAAACACAAGATTACTAAATACTGAGGAACTTTTCATAATTCCCTAGCCAAGGGAAGCATGAGAGACAACATTGTTAAATTATTTGAACCTGGACTAGTGAAAATCCAGAAGAATAGTACAGAGAACAACCCTGTAATGAGAAAGGATGGGCTAGGTAAATCATGGTTTTTCCCATCTCTGCTTATTTCTTGTATGAGCTCGTTTCATGTGCCACATACTAGGAAAAAAAAAAAATAATCACCAAATGATCAGCTCTCTCGTGTGCAGGATTTCTGTGTAAGCATGTGGTTATTTTATGTCCCTCAAGTATAAACTAGAGGTTTAGGTCTTTTGGACTGAGATATATACATGTTGTATATGTAGTCATCTTCTAGTGCTGGTCTTGAACTGTTGCAGAGTGGAAAACAAAAAATGGAACAATTCTGGAAATTAAACATCTCACCAACTGCTGCTATTATCTCAATTCAAGATGCTTGAAATGACTAAAAATTTAAAGTGTACACATTTTAGCTCATATCTTCGTAGGAACTATACTGTCTTTATGTGTGGGAAGACAACAGTACCACACTACCAATCCACTCTTGGATGAAAAGAAAAAAGAAAAAAAAAGAAAGGGAAAAAACCCCCACAAAGAGCAACTAGTTTCCTGCCAGTATTGAATATTTCCCGATACACCATACCCAAAGGAAACGCTGTCAGGCCACTGTATTTCTAGTTGCTGCTACCCATCCATGGGCAGTGTAAAGCACAACTGACTGAAACACAGCTGCTCTCAGAGACGATCCTCCACATCAAATACAAACAGGCAATGCTGTCCTCACAGGAGTCGTTTTAAGAAAGTCAGTGAAAGTGGAGTTTCAAAAATGTTAAATTATTGTAAAATATTATTTTACAAATAAAGGGGCAAATTTGCCTTTCAGTCTGATTAGAACAGTTTCCCAAGTCACGGTGCAGATAGGGTTACCACATGTAGAAATTCAGAAAAGAGGTGGTTTGGCCAATCTTAGCAAGGAGATACAAAATAAAACAGATCATGACTGTCAGTTGTGAGTAAATAAATCCCAGATCCCAAATTAAAGCCCCTTATTAGAGAGTCATGTTAGCTGCCTTGGTTTTCATAGTTTTGCTCTTAAACATCATGAAGTAGATTCTTAAAGTGTCTAAGTCTTTCCCAGATGCACAGAGGAATACTCCTCCTGAGTAAGAATTGCACCTCTTTGATCTTGAGCTGTACAAACTCCGAGCAAATATGAGCTGCAAGGGAAGCCTGGCAAACCTTACCCTGTTTGTGTAAGGTTCCTGAGAGAGTAAATATAGATATTAATCAGAGATGCAATACCATCTTTGCTACTTTGTAAAACCTTTTAGTTCTTATTATTGGGAAAAGTATTCAAAATGATTTCCAGTGCGTCCTCTCTGATACAGAGAGAACTCCTTTTCACTGTGACAGCTTTCCATACTATCCTGCAGGTTTATCCTTAGTCATCTTGCCATATCTACCTTTGCTGTGCCATTGTCACATTCAAAAGTGATGTCTCACCCCTAATCAAAGGCAAGTTTGGCAGAATGCTTTTTGGTGCTCTTCTGTCTCAAAATGGGACACCATCCACTAACTTTCATTTTCATTTCATTTATTATTTGCAAGACCACCCACCATGTAATCCAATAAATTCAATCAAAAAAATCCTGAGTGCAAAAAAATGCGTTTTCATTTTCCTTATCCTTTCTAACATCACTAAAAGCTTTATGGTCCCAATACCATTTCCCCCATACATCTTCAACTAGCTTCAGCCTAGAAAATCCTTCTCCTGGTTGCTGAGATTAAGATCAGGAAATGAGAGGCACTGAAAAAATTATAAATTATCACATTTTCTCTACTCCACAGAAGCTACTAAATAAGAGAATAGGGAAGGAGAAAGAGCTTACAAGAACCAAGAATGGAAAAATGCACCAACTTCCTTAACCATTGAAGAGCATGCCTCAGGAAACCAAAGACAACTACAGCTATACATACTCACGCATCTCAGATTCCAGAGTCAGCTTGTCTTCTCCTTAATGACACAAAGTTTCTTAAAACCATACAGATTAATTTTCTTTTTCTCTG